CCAACAGAAGAAGACCTTTCTCTCTGTCTCTCCCTCTCAATGTCTGTAGCTCTACCTCTCAAATAAATAAGTAAATAAGTAATCTTTAAAAAAATAAAATAAAATCTTTAAAAAAAGAAAGAAAGAAAAAGAAGAAAGGCCAGAGTGGTTTCCATGACAATCAAATGACAGCCATAAAGGGGGGAAAGGGGAAGGTGTGGAATCTGAAAAACAACAGAAGGGGTCAGCGCTGTGGCATAGTGGGTAAAGTTGCCACCTGCAGTGCCAGCATCCCATATGGGCGCTGGTTCTAGTCCCGGCTGTTCCACTTCTAATCCAGCTCTCTGCTACGGCCTGGGAAAGTAGTGGAAGATGGCCCAAGTCTTTGGGTCCCTGTACCCATGCGGGAGACCCAGAAGAAAGTTTCTGGCTCCTGGCTTTGGATCAGGGCAGCATCTGCCATTGCAGTACATTTGGGAGTGAACCAGCAGATGGAAGACCTCTCTGCCTCTCCTTCTCTCTCTGTGTAACTCTTTCAAATAAATAAATAAATCTGGAAAAAAAAGAAAACTAAATACCAAAATTTTTTCTAAGTCATTTGATTATAGGTAAACAGCAGTAATAATAATCCTACAGGTCTACTTTACTTACTGTAACTCTAAATGAAATACAGTAATATATTTCACACATTAAAGATGAACCTTGGAAGTTTCAAATTCAAAAATGTTAATTTTCTCAGGGGTTTTAAGCTACTAGGATCAAACAAGGATTCAGTTCTTCCAAAGAATTCCCTCAGAGAATTCTCCTACTACAGGTTTTGTTTAAACTCCAGATAACCTTGAACTGCCAAAAGTCAAGGTCCCTGTGTTTAATAGGAAAAAGATGTCTCAAAGCTTAGTGCCAGTGATTTTAAAAATCAGTTTCGTAGTTTAAACTTTTCTACAGAATTCAAAGCAAAGCAGAAAAAAACAGATGAGATAATAAGCAAAGTCTTCAATCTATTTAGAGCCATTTAAGAAACATGATCCTCTGAAGCAGAAAAACTTATTGAAACTGCTGCCTCGGCCAGCACCATGGCTCACTGGGCTAGTCCTCCGCCTGTGGCGCCGGATTCTGTCCCGGTTGCCCCTCTTCCAGGCCAGCTCTCTGCTATGGCCAGGGAGTGCAGTGGAGGATGGCTCAAGTACTTGGGCCCTGCACCCCATGGGAGACCAGGATAAGTACCTGGCTCCTGGCATTGGATCAGCGCGGTGTGCGGGCTGCAGCGCGCCAGCCGTGGCAGCCATTGGAGGGTGAACCAATGGCAAAAGGAAGACCTTTCTGTCTCTTTCTCTCACTATCCACTCTGCCTATCAAAAAAAAAAGAAAAAAACTGCTGCTTCAATTGACATAAATTTGAAGAGAATTCTGCTTTCCTGACAACTGAATCTCCAATCATATATACGAAAGAAGAAATTACATCCTAAATTCTTTCTCTCTTTAATATATGGACATTAACTAGGCTGCAAAAACAGATGTGGACCTTAAAATGTAGTATTTTTAGGCAAGATCTTTGCCAAATCGAAAGATTTTTAATAGCAATGTGTGCTGTAGATCATAAATATCACTTTCTTTATGTTGAGGTTTTTTTTTTTTTTTTTTTTTTTTTTTTTTTTTTTTTTTGACAGGCAGAGTGGACAGTGAGAGAGAGACAGAGAGAGAAAGGTCTTCCTTTGCCGTTGGTTCACCCTCCAATGGCCGCCGCTGCAGCCGGCGCACCGCGCTGATCCTGGCAGGAGCCAGGAGCCAGGTGCTTTTCCTGGTCTCCCATGGGGTGCAGGGCCCAAGCACCTGGGCCATCCTCCACTGCACTCCCTGGCCATAGCAGAGAGCTGGCCTGGAAGAGGGGCAACCGGGACAGAATCCGGCGCCCCAACCGGGACTAGAACCCGGTGTGCCGGCGCCGCAAGGTGGAGGATTAGCCTATTGAGCCACGGCGCCGGCCCTATGTTGAGGTTTTTTTAAATAATGTACTTGACCCTTACCACCACTGCCCAACCTTTCATAGGAAAAAAAAGATAGGTAAATTACATTTAGTAAATTACTATCTCCTTGCTGTTTCATTTTGAGCATGAAAAGATGAATGTGGTTAGCACAATTATAAACAGGATCAATACAAATATGAAGAACAGGAAGAAGGGTTAAATCAAATTAACACAGGACAATTTGGATTTTTTTTAAATCAATCCTTCATAGAGAGTTAATTAGCTCCAATGATAAATAGTTACATGAATTTGATAGGCAAACCTATTTCAAAACATCAGTCACTAAACAATAAAATTAAAGGAGAAAATATCCATTCCACACATAAATTAAAATCAGCTGCTCCTAGGTTTAAGTGAGGATGTACTTATCTATTTGCTTAGCTTTTAAATTTTAATTCCACTGATAGAAGTACTACTTACAGGATCATTCAGAGTTAGATTTCCATGACTTCTACAATCACTGACTCTGCCTAGTAACCTCCAGATAAGTACAGCCACAATTTAACAATTTCAGTATAAATCAACATAAAGTTAAATAAAGAAAGAAGCCCAAATACTGAATGTTGTAGCTCAAGTTTCACAGAAACATAAAATGAAAGCAGCATTCATGACGAGTCATCTAGCACAGCTTAATGACTATTTGGGTCTACAGTTTGCTTCAGTAAATACAGTACCTTTTCTAATTTTCAACTTTGCTTTTAAAACTTAGAAAGCAGTATCTTCCACTTACATCCAAAAGACACTTCTGAATTTAAAGCACTTAAAAATTAACACTGGATCTGTCCCTAATTCTCTTCCTCCACATCCAGCTTCTTGAGCGGCCACAAATTTAATGCTAATAAAGATACTGGCGGCCGGCGCCGCAGCTCACTAGGCTAATGATCTGCCTGCGGCGCCAGTACCCCGGGTTCTAGTCCCGGTTGCTCCTCTTCCAGTCCAGCTCTCTGCTGTGGCCCGGGAAGGCAGTGGAGGATGGCCCAGGTCCTTGGGCCCTGCACCCTCATGGGAGACCAGGAGGAAGCACCTGGCTTCGGATCGGTGCAGCGCGCCGGCTGTAGCAGCCATTTGGGGGGTGAACCAACAGAAGGAAGACCTTTCTCTCTAACTCTGCCTGTCAAAAAAATTATAAAAAAAAAAAAAAAAAGGTACTGGCATACTTTGAGATATTTGTGAACAGGTATATAAGACCTCTGCTTTGTTTTTGTATCTTACCATATCAAATTGATGGCTTTAGAAAGTGAAGCTACTAAATAAATCTTCTAGAAGGGCGGGGCAGCAACACTGTGCTGTAGAAGATTAAGAGTCCACCTGCAGTGTTGGCATCCCATACGGGTGCCAGTTCAAGTACACTTCCAATCTAGCTCCCTGCTAATGCGCCTGGGAAAGCAGCAGATGGCCAAAGGCCTTGGACTCCTGCACCCACATGGAAGACCCAGAAGAAACTCCTGGATTTGGCTGGCCCAACAGTGGCTGTTGCGGCCATTTGGGGAGTGAACCAGAAGGAAGATCTCTGCTTCTGCCTCTCCTTCTCTGTAATTCTTTCAAATAAGTAAGTCTTTAAAAAAAAGATAAAAACAAAGCTACTTCCAGACATTTTAGTAGGCATTCTAAACTGACGTAAAATCTTAAAACTAAATTGGAAAGTTAAAGAGTAGAACAGGAGTTCGGTCTGTAACTGACTGTGAACAATCAATTGAGGTAATTCACTACCTTCGGAACAGCCAATTGGAAAGTTAAAAAAACAAGTTCTTACAATATTTTAGCACTTCAAGGCCCAGCTCAAAAGCTACTTATTCCAAAAATCCAGCTTGCTTCCTGCAGCCAGAAGGATCCTTTCTAGTTCTTGTGGGTTTTGCACTTTGGGGATCCATCACCTGCAAATGTCTCTTCTCCTTCCTAAAGTGTGGGGCCGTATTCTGAATTAGTTCTCCTCACCCGCTCTTCCTCTTGGCTAAGACATAAGAAATGTTCAGCTAACTGTCTGCTGAATTTCCCTAGCCACTGGACGCTCCCTTTCAGTCTTCCACAGTAAGTCCTTAACGCCTTGTGAAGGCACTGTTAGTCCGGCAGCTCGCTCTGTTATTTTCCTTACCCACACCAAGCCACCTCTTCCCTTCGAGTAGCGAAACCGTCTACCTGTGAGAGAGTATCATCGCCTCCTGACTCAGCCCAGTCCGCTCTAACTTCAGCAAAGGAATCAATACCTCCACCCGCTGCTGTGCGCAGAGCTCTGCAGAACGCAGCCATCCAGTCGAGGGAACCGTCTCCCCAAAGTAGGTCAGGATCCGGCCCCCCCTTCTCAACTTCTCACCAGCGGGGCTCCCACGCTCTCACTCCCACCTTGGGGGACGCAAGCTGCCGCACTTGCTCGCGGCGTGCCGAGCGCCGGCCGACGCGCACACAGTTCGCGGGCGCCCTGCCTAGGTCCCGGCCCCAGCGCGAAGCCCACAGAGACCACCAGCCGGGTGCGACCCCCGCCCCGCGCCGCTTCTCACCTGTTGGCCCGGCCCCTGCCTCCCCCGCGTCGCTCCTTCCCCTCGGGTCCCGTGACGCTCCCGACGTTCGGGTTAGTTCAAGGACTCCGGGAGGGAGAGGGCACGGCGTGGGCAGAGGCACGCCGGAGCCCAGGCCTTGGCACCAGCGGGCCCCGGAGGAAGCGCACAGGGCCGGGCCGGGCCGGAGAGGGGCCCACCAGGCGAAGGCGCGGGGGCCGCCGGCCTCTCCTCGCTCCTAGGGCCCGCTGGCCGGAGCAGCCCCGGCAGCCTGAAAGGCGCCGGGAGCCCGGGTTCTCCTCCCCGTGCCGGTCAGCGGCCCCCTCCGGCGGAGGTCTCTGAGGTGCCGGCCGGCTAACCGCTGGGGCGTCAAGAAAGGAGGCGCTCCGGGCGCCCTGGCCACGTAGAACAGGCGACAAGGGTCTGCCCGGCCTCCCCGGCCTCTCACCTTCATGGCCGCGACCGCCCCGACTCGGTCGGCTCTGCCGGGGAACTCAGCACCATAGCAGCCCCTCGCCCAGCCGCCGGCCCTCCTGGCTTCTGGGCGGCGACTACAGAGCCTCCTGAGGCGACCGAGCGTCCGCACGTAAGGGGCGTGGCCACGCTCGCCGCGCGCCCCGGGAAGACGGCCGAGCGGCGGCCGGGTAAGCCAATCCGGAGCCGGCGCTCGGGGGCCGGTCTCCAGAGCCAATGAGGGGCCGGGAATGGGGCGGGGCCTCCGGCGCCGCGGGGTGGCCGGGCGAGCGCTCCGTTCCGCCGGGAGGAGGAAGGGGAGCGGCTGGGTGTGGCGGGAGGCGCTGCCCTGAGCGGCGTGGTGGGCCGGGTGGCGGAAATGGAGGAGTCCGCGTGTCCCGAACCGGCTGCCGCCTCAGAGATCTGTCGGCAAGAGCGCCGGGTGGCTGGAAGGTCGTAACCGTCAGAGCAGGGCCTCGGGTTTCTCCTGAAGCGTTCGTGTGGTGAGCGGCAGCTGCCCGCGCTAGAACGCGACGCCTGGAAAACAGGGTTTATCGAAAACACTTGGAGAACCAGCGGCTCGCCAATCCTGACGGCCCTATTAAAGCGCCAGGAAAATAATCAGAACCCTGGCTCAATAAAAAGAATTCGCGTGATTCCTCGGAATGAACATTTTTGGAGCAGAGAAATGAAGGCAAATTTAAATACCAAGTTCTTCAGCCAGACTGGATGACACTCTGGCTTTGGGACACATCGTTCACCTCTTTCAACCAGGGTGTAGAAATTTAAATAGACGTGAAGATGTCAATTTGCCGCTCTTCTTAAGGACCTCTTTATTATTTTTTAAAAGATTTATTTATTCAAGAAAAGAAAAAAAAGATTTATTTATTCATTTGTAAGTCAGAGTTACACAGAGAGAGGAGAGGCAGAGAGAGAGAGAGAGGTCTTTCATCCACTGATTCACTCCCCCATTGGCTGCAATGGCTGGAGCTGCGCCGATCAGGAGCCAGGAGCCACTTCCGGGTCTCCCACGAGGGTGCAGGGGCCCAAGGACCTGGGCTATCTTCCATTGCTTTTCCAGGCCATAGCAGAGAGTTGGATTGGAAGTGGAGCAGCCAGGTCTTGAACCAGCGCACATGTGGGATGCCAGCATTGCAGTCGGCAGCTTTACCCGTTACACCACAGCGCCGGCCTCTTTAATAGACTTCTTGAACATACTGTGTTAGAACAAACCACACACCAAACTGGGCCATTCATTCTCTTAATCAGAAATAATACGCCGGCTTATGATTGTTTTCCTTGCTTCAGACAATTCACAGATAATGTAATTTCTCACCCAGGATAGTCCTCAATTTTCTTCTTTGGAAAAATCCACAAAAATCTCTTACTTCACCTGTCAGGGAAACAGCTGAGTTTACTGGAAGGGGAAGTATTTTAATATTTTTGTATATATATTTTTTTTATTTGAAAGGCAGAGAAACATAACCGAGAGCTCCCATACACTGGTTCACTCAGCAAATGTCCCCAACAGCCAGAGCCAGACCAGGCTGAAGCCAAGAGCTAGGAACCCAATCCACATGGGTGGCAGGGACCCAAATACTTGAGTCACCTCCTACTGCCTCTCAAGATGTGTGTGAATTACCAAGAAGCTGGAATTGAAGTGGAGTCTCCAGCCCAAGGTGTCCCAAGTGGTGCCTTTAAGAGCTATACAAAATGCCACTCTAGAAGAAAAGGTATTCTCATGATGTAGGTTTAAAGAGACTCATCAAACTTGGCTCAGGTTACAAAACTATGGTTCTGTTTCATCAAGAGTTAATAAATAAGGGCTGGCACTCTGGTTTAGTAGTGTCAGACCACCACAAAACACACCAAACACCGGAATAAGGGAAAGGGTTTATTGACAGGGAGGGGGCGAAGAAGGAAGGGAGGGGGTAGAGAGAAAGAGAGAGAACAGGTGCAGGAGGCAGGTCTTGTTATACCTTTGCAGGGGACCATGACCTGGAAGAGGCTCCTGGCTCCTGGCTTTGGATCAGCTCAGCTCTGGCTGTTGCAGCCATTTGGGAAGTGAACCAGCAGATGGAAGACCTCTCTCTCTGTCACTCCCTTTCTCCCTCTGCTCCCTCTGTAACTCTACCTCTCAAAAAAAAAAAAAAAAGTTAATGAATAAGCACATGAAAAGATGCTCAACATCACTGGCCATTAGGGAAATACAAATCAAAACCAGATACTATTAACAGCTATTAGGGGTCGGGGCCGCGGCTCACTAGGCTAATCCTCTACCTTGCGGCGCCGGCACACCGGGTTCTAGTCCCGGTCGGGGCGCCGGATTCTGTCCCGGTTGCCCCTCTTCCAGGCCAGCTCTCTGGTGTGGTCCGGGAATGCAGTGGAGGATGGCCCAAGTGTTTGGGCCCTGCACCCCATGGGAGACCATGAGAAGCACCTGGCTCCTGCCATCGGATCAGCGCAGTGCGCTGGCCATGGTGGCCATTGGAGAGTGAACCAACGGCAAAAGGATGACCTTTCTCTCTGTCTCTCTCTCTCACTGTCCACTCTGCCTGTCAAAAAAAAAAAAAAAAACAGCTATTAGTATGTCTAAAATAAAAAAGACATAAATGTTGGTGAAAATGTGGAGAATTTGGAATCCTCATTAGTGGTGGGAATGTAAAATGGTGCAGCTGCTTTAGGAAAGTCTGGTGATTCAAGATATTGAATACGGAGCTAGCCTATAACCCAGCAATCCCACTCATAGGTAATGTTTTAGTGTGGGAGTGTGGTTCAAGGTTAAGTTACCACTTGAGATACGTGAATCCCATACCAGAGTACCTAGTTCATGTCGCACCTGTTCTGCTTCCCACATCTTATTAATGCACACGTGGGAGGCAGCAGGTGATGGCCAAGGTACCAGGATCCCTGTCACCCACATGGAATTCCAAGTTCCTGTCTTCAGCTTGGCCTAGCCACAGCTCCTGTGGGCATCTGGGGTGTGAACCAGCTGATGGAAGTTGTCTGTGTGTCTACTTCTCTCTCTCAGCCTTTCAAATAAGATGAAAATAGTGTTCATAGCAGCGTTATTCATAGTAGCCAAAAAGTGGAAACCCAGATGTTCACTATCTGATGAATGGATAAACAAAATGTGGTCTATCCATACAACAGAATATTACTCAGGCAAAAATGAGTGAATTACTGGTACATGCTACACGGTGGATGATCCTGTAAAACATGCTAAGTGAAAGAACCAGACACAAATAATCACATATTGTATGACTTCATTTATATGGAATGTCCAGAATACCCAAATCCATGGAGAAAGAAAGTAGAGTAGTGTTGTTGCCTGGGGGTGAGGGAGCTGGGGGAAAATTGAGTAATGGCTACTGGACACAGGTTTATTTTTGGATGATTTAAATGTTTTAAAATTGGTTGTGGGGATGGTTGCACAGTTCTGTGAATATGGAGTTGTACCATTTCTTTAAAGAAATATTTATTTTATTTGAAAGAATTGGAGAGAGAGAAAGAGAGAGGGAGAGGGAATGGGGGGGGGGGATCTTCCATCTGCTGGTTAACTCCCCAAATGGCCAGGAGCTTCTTCCAGGCTTCCCATGTGGGTGCAGAAACCCAAGCACTTGGGCCATCCTCTGCTACTTTCCCAGGCTCATTAGCAGGGAGCTGGATCAGCAGTGGAGCAGCTGGGACTCCAACCAGCATCCATATCAGATGCTGTCGCAGCAGGCAGTGGCTTAATATCTGCTATGCCACAAAGCCAGCCCTGAATTGTATCATTTAAATGAATGAATTGTCTGCTGTGTGAATTCTATCTCACTAAAGCTGTTATAACAATATTGAGGAACAACAGAAAAAGAGCTAAGGTAGGTGCAGAGTGGGAATTAAAGCAACCATGAGTAGGGAGAGATTTCAGTATTGGGGAATGTTTTGTCTTTAGATTTATTTATTTATTTGAAAGTCAAAGAGAGAGCGAGCGAGAGAGAGATGCCTGCTATGCACTGGTTTACTTCCCTAAATGGCCACAACATCCAGGGCTGTGCCAAGCTGAAGCCAGGAGCCAGAAGCTTCATCTGGGTCTCCCACATGGGTGGCAGGGCTCCAAGCACTCTGCCCTTCCTCTCCTGCCCTCTCAGGCACATTACCTGAGAGCTGCATTGGAAGCAGAGCATCCAGAACTCAACTCTGCGCTCCGACGCAGGATGCTGCTTATCCCACTTCGCCACAATGCCAGTCCCCATCACACTTCTTCAATAAAAGAGATGCATTACGTGATTAAATATTTTCCTCTTTTTTCTTTTCTTTTTATTTTATTTGAAAGGCAGAGCTACAGACAAAGGGAGAGGCAGAGAGAGAGAGAGAGAGAGAGATCTTTCATTTGCTGGTTCACTCCCCAAATGGCTGCAACAGCTGGAGCTGAGCTGGTCTGAAACCAGGAGCCAGGAGCTTCTTCTGGTTCTCCCACGTGGGTGTCAGGGCCCAAGCACTTGGGCCGTCCTCCACTGCTTTCCTAGGCGCACCAGCAGGGAGCTGGATCAACCGTGGAGCAGCTGGGACTAGAATTTGTGCCCATATGGGGTGCTGGCACTGTAGGTGAAGGCCTAACCTGCTACACCACAGCGCTGGCCCCTCAATATTTTTCTTTGTTTTTTGTTTTGTTTTGCCAGGCAGAGTTAGACAGTGAGAGAGAGAGAGAGAGAGAGAGAGAGAGAGAGAGAGAGAGAGAGAGAAAGGTTTTCCTTCCATTGGTTCACCCTTCAAATGGCCACTATGGCTGGCATGCTGCGCCGATCCAAAGCCAGAAGCCAGGTGCTTCCTCTTGGTCTCCCATGCAGGTGCAGGGCCCAAGCACTTGGGCCATCCTCCACTGCGTTCCTGGGCCACAGCAGAGAGCTGGCCTGGAAGAGGAGCAACCGGGACAGAACCAGTGCCCCAACCAGGACTAAAACCCAGGGTGCCGGTGCCGCCAGCAGAGGATTAGCCTAGTGAGCTGCGGTGCCGGCAATATTTTTCTTTGTCTCAAACTTTCTATAATGACAAGCCTCTTTCAGTTGTGAACTAATTGTGCCAATTGTGGTTCAGGAAAATTGGATTTGTTTCCCAGCTTATAATCAAGACATCTTAATACTGTGAATTCCAGAGACAAAAAGTAGGATGGCCAAGACACATGGGATACTTGGTTGTGGCTTAACTG